TCTGTCTCAGACTCTTTTCTATGATAGAGATGGTTTCGTTGTGTCATATTGTCATATTAAGAAAAATAAAAAAATAAAAAATTACATCTTGGCATTTTGACCCAAGATTTGCTCACAATATATCTCCACCAAGATTTGCAGTATCGCGATTTATGGGGAGAGTATGTTAAATGTTGAAAAAGCGGCGAGTTGTTCCTCTCTTCTGCTTGAAGTTGATAAAGGCACAACGGCCACTTGGTCCACAGAAAATGCCAAGGTGGGCGAAAAGTGACCACGACGCAGTAAAAGGAGCGTCCCCCCGCCAGCTGTATTGCTCCAACACTATGGGTGGATACTAGCGATGGGCGCCTACCTGGGGTGCAAAATAGAAGCCGTTGCCCACGAGCTCATATCAAGCGGAGAAATAAAATTGTTCCATTGCTGTCCAACTGACAAGAAAGTGCACGTATCTCACTATATAGCAGGCGTACCGAGGTCAAGCCTCCGGCGCTGTCATCTGCACTCACGGATCTGGCTCGGGTGCAAAGGGATTAGGTGTGGGGTGATTCGATGAAGAGCTAGAAGCGTCGCACACGACAGAGCTGTGTTGGCAAAACGTTTCTCCTCCTCTACTTTTCTACTTCAAAATAAAGTACTCTTTGAACGGCCCCTCGACAGACTGGTGATGACGCACGTGGAACGAGCCAGGGCAAATACGCATTTTTTTCGCGCGCCTTGGTCGTTTTCGTTCGCTGTCGGCGCCCGTGGCGCCGACACAGTGACGCCAGGGTGCGCTTGAGACCCTTGCGAGTGTGCCACGTGCAGATTTCATGGCGTTATGGACGATTAGGTTGACTGACCTTCGGTGATCGCGCCGCACCCAGGCAAGATTTGTTTCGCCGCCTCAAGATTTGTCGGAAGGCTCGTTTCGACAGATCTTGGGTCAAGATTTGTTCGAAAGGGCAGATTCCGGGCCTCGAGAAATCTTGGCCAAGATATATCGGAAGATTTCGCTCCCATAAATCGTGAAACTGGCAGATTTTGGCCAAGATCAAGATTTATCGACAAGATTTTGTTCCCATAAATCAGGGTCTATGACGGTCTAACTTTTATGGTCTAACTTTTACCGCGGTACACAATCCCGTGTGGCTTGCCAAGAAAAAAAACGAGGCGTTTCGACTCCAACTACAGCAGTGAAGACTTTGCACATGGAATCAGAGCAACTCTGAGCACCTTGGCACCTTGGCGCCTTGGCATGCGTTACAGCGACCGGGTACCTACCCCGCGCACAATAGGGGCACTAAGGCGGAATAGATTTTCTCAGATACAGGACAGCTCTCTGCTGAAAAGGGGGCTCGCAACTGTTCATGTACGACAGCAGTGCACTGTGTATACAAGTAACAGTTAGATGCCGAAGGGGGACGGGGCCAACAATGCAGCAGCACCACCACCAAGCGGTCACCGTGACAGCAGCAGCAGTGCTGAGCACAGGGATAGTCACATCGATCGTTGTTCATGGCTTCCCTCCCAAGACTCGGCAGAGGCTATTTGCGAGCCGCGGCCTGGATTACGAGGGGGCATGCACTGCGTACTGCGGACACCCACACCCACACGCGGGCGGAGATTTGGGTATGTTGGATGTACTCACAGCGTTGACAGATTATTGCAACCGTGATGGAGTGGGGAATTTTGGGGGTTCTGCAGTTGCGATAGATAAGGGGAAATAGTGTGGTACCATCTTTGCCACATATTGTTTTCGGTTTTTTTTCTTAGTATGACACAACGAAGCCATCTCTATCATAGAAAAGAGTCTGAGACAGATTAGCAATGCATTCATTGTTGTTTTCTGGGTATGCGTGTCTACAACGGTGTTGGCCACGTGCCCATGGATAGTTCATCTTCTTTTTTCCCGGCTATCACGCCCTGGGCTATCACGCCCGTGTCTATACTACATATCCACCAGCTAACACGCTGCCAGGCTGTCACGCCTCCAGGCTATCACGCCATTACCAAGCTATCACACACCCAGCGTCAACAGATCAGAGCTATCACGCTCCGGAACATCACAGATGCGGGTTACCACACCCGTGGGCAGTTTTCTGTATTTTATCGTTGCCGGCAAACTCGCCGCACGGTTCTTTTCTTTTTGCCGTCTACAACTGCGCCGGGCGCACCAAGCTATCCGACAGGAGGGTAGATGCACCAAATCCTCCATCATGAACGCTGCTGACAAGCTCCAACCTCCAACCCCCCATTATCACATCGGCGTCCACTCATATCGAACGGGCTGACACCAATGTTATTGTAGGTTCGCGGACGCACACATCTCGGAAGCTTGTTGCAGCCGAGGTACTTGTGGCGAGCTAGTATAGGTAGAGGTACTACCATAACATAACCGTCAACGTTGACAGATAGCTCTAACATCCAACCTCCAGCTCTCTCCAAGCATCAGCGTACACGCACATCTAACGGGCAACACAACATCAAAATTACACATTGTAAGTTCGCGCACGCACACATCTCAGAAGCTCGTTTCAGTCGAGATGTATCTACAGGGCGAACCTCTATGAAAGTAGAGGCGCCAAATCTTCAACCAATCAATAACGCTGTCACGCGCTCGACCTCAACCTCCAACTCTCCATAATCAAGCATCGGGATGAACGCTTATCGAACAAGTGGACATCAGCACTATTCTTGCAAGTTCGCACACGCACACATCTCTGAAGGTTGCTCCGAAGCCGAGGACAATTTTTGTTTTCGGTGGAAGCACCAAATCTCCAATCACAAACACGGGCACAGCTTCAAACTTCCAATCTCCAAATCTCGCCGAGCATCGGCGTTCACGCACATCGAATGCACTTGTATGCCGATCAGGGGGTTATCGTCGAGTACAAATATTTTTAGCCGTCGGGTTTGCATATGCTGGGATCACCACTATTTACGTCTCCCACTTGTATGATTTGCTTGAAAACATCACGCCCTTGATTTGTAGGAACGAGACGCACGAGACGCTGTTGATCACGGTTGATGGTTGGCGATAGATACCCAGGCAGGTCGACAGGGCGTCACTAACCGGTCTTCTCCATATCAGGGCGATTCTAGTATGGCGTGTGCTACGTCCATCCAGTCTTCCGCAGCAATGAACTCGTCCTGTGCACCTGCATCTGCCGGATGGGCATGACAAGGCGTTGAAACCAACACGTGTGCATCTTGAGCCGCCGTGTGTGCGACAACTTCCTCGTGCTGTTGGCGTGCATCGTTGCGCGTGCGGTCATCACAACCGCCGACTGGCTCAGCTCCAGACGTACCCGCGCCGCCTTCCGAGGACACCATAGACGAGAAGTCCAAGTTCCGTCCAGAGCAAAGTCTTTCCGTTGTCCTGACCAATGAAATGGTGCGTGTGGGGACGTACGTGTCACCAGGTGAAAGGTAAAACGTACAGAGTTGCCCCTTCTTGAAGGATGCTACTGCAATTGCCATCGGTGGGTAAGTCCTGATGCAACACAGGCGAGCAGTTGACTATGCGTAGAACGCTTTCACGGCTATCTCAAAAATACTTCATAATGCACTCATGACAGGTGGGAAGAAAGCTTCGGGCACCCATGCGGCTTAAGAAACCAATCCACTGATGAACTTTCCTCAACAGGAGTAGGGATGAAGCACGCACACCACAGTCCCAAGCTGAACAAACCTGCACAGGCCGTTGTCACAAATCCCAGATAAGCCGTCCCACTCCTCAAACGGCGGAATGGCCAACGAGCCTGCGGGCCGCGTGCTATTGCAAGCGTTCCGGAGCTTGCCGTACAGCCCATAAGCACTGGGGTGATCCATGCTTGCTACCATCGATAGCGATAGGTGCGCTATGTGTTCTCTTCACCACAACGAAAAATCGAACAAGCGATCATATCAAGCATCGGGCAAACGAGAGAGGTCAGAAAGCCCATAGAACCCCTGGGGGCGACCAAGACAGAAAAAACTTGTTCGTCCGTCAGCGAAATGACCCTCAGCCGAGAACACAAGGCGAACGAGTGAAGAGAAAAGGTTCACATCGGTTTCGACATTTCTCGCTGGTCTCTATCCTGCCCAACGCTGCCCAGAAAAACACACGCATACCTACCATACTGAACGTGGTGCCATAGAAGCTGCTGGAAGGGTACCCAGTTGCGGCGCCATTTTGAGCAATACCAGCTAACGATTTGGGGAACATGTTTCTTGCTTCTTCTGCAGAGTAGCCCAACAGCAACATGTACAATCAAGTACTTGGGAATACCAGTATGTGTAGGATTCTTGGCATCTATTCCAATGTTCATTTTCTGAAACTTGTGTTTTGGGGTTCCGTAGCCCAGGCTCGTAATGGGAGCGTGTTCCGCATGTCACTCACCCCATGAAGAAGCGGGTAAGTCCAGGGTATCGGTCGCAGATCTCGACGCAGCGTCGTAGCTTCTCCAGCGCTGCATTGGAATCCCCCTGTACGGCCTTAGCAAATACTAGGGCCCTGTGTGATGCGACACGGTTCATTTCAGACAAAGAAGGAGCTCCAATTTTCACTTGGACATGCTTCAATAGCGTGAGCTGGTTATATCCTCAGTTTTCCTCTCTATTCTTTTCGTACACGCAAGCCGAAATACCAGTTTGAACCCGAACACACCATAGCGCCCAATGGAGTTGCAGGAGTCCGTTGTTGCAGAACGATATTGTCATTGTCGACATGCTGACAGGCAAACGAATACCGTCTCACCCGTTGATGATCAGGCTGCCAATACCCGCGCGAACGTTGGGTCTTCCATCCCCAGTTGAATTCCGTCATTCAATACCCGTCGTGACGGCAAGCAGCGAATGAACAAGCCGTTGCGAGAGGCGAGGGCAGATAGTAAGAGGAGGTTACACGCTGTTGCGGGTGGGTCAGATAGAGGCCGACGCCAGCGGTGTCGCACAACGACAAATTACGTCCTAGCTGCGAGCTACAGATGGTATGTTAATTAGCTAAACGTCGTCATGTCGAGCTAGCCTAGACGCAATCTTCACCTCTCCGCCGCGTCTTCACAGGCTCCAAAGTCAGGCATAATTCCCATCATTGTTGATTGCATCACGCTGGCGCAATCAGAGGCAGCGGAGCGGGAACGAGCGCTGCCGAAACCACCGCCGACGCCTCGTATGTTCGACGCATCGTCGTCGCTGGGTTCACCGTCATCCCCGCCTGCCCACGCTACCCCTGCCCCTTGCTTGCGCAGGGCTCGGTTCATGGTTACTACGGAGGATTGCAGGACAAACTGAGATACTTGCGCTTCGGTTGCAATTTGGGATATCTGTATTGGGCGAGTAGCAGAAAAGACACAAACGCACACGGAATGCACCGGGGGGGCGCGGGGGGGGGTACTCATTGTCGTGCATGTCGCAGTCGTTACACCATTTACCTCGCATCCCTACAAAGCCGGGACGGAGCACATTGGGTTCTCACCGGACCAGGCTCTCACATCACCAAGCGAGAAGCACCGTGAGGTATTCGGCGAGTCGCATGAAGGGTGCACTGCATCCTGCTCAGGGTGTTCGGCATCTCGTGCTTACTCCCTTGCGTACGAATGACAGCTGCGTATGACACAATTAATATTCTGGTGCTTTCACTTCCAGAGACAGTTGTAAACACTGTATAACTGCCTCGAGGATGCTTGACCATTTTAACACAACGTGGTGCGATCATCCCCCGTTGCGCGGAGTGAGGGTTCTCGACCCCGCACAACATGATCTACTCGACCACCATTATGGTTACCGCCAAAAAAGAAAAAGAGACGCAAAAAGAAAAGCGTTGACCTGGTCGCCGAGCGCACGAAGTGATCGGCTTGTTTTACAACTTCGTTGCCAAGCGAAGAAAACACATCCCCGACGGCAAACACCGGAAGAGGGGGGTGGGGTGGGGGTGGGGGGGTGTACTCATAGTCGTGCATGCCGTAGTCGTTAGACCATTGACCTCGCATCCCTACAAAGCCGGGACGGAGCACATTGGGTTCTCACCGGACCAGGCTCTCACATCACCAAGCGCGAAGCGCCGTGAGGTATTTGGCGAGTCGCATGAAGGGTGAGCTGCATCCTGCTAAGGGTGTTCGGCATCTTGTGCTTACTTCCTTGCGTGCGGATGACAGCTACGTATGACGTAATTTATTTTCTGGTGCTTTCACTTCCAGAGACAGTTGTAAACACTGTGTAACTGCCTCGAGGATGCTTGACCATTTTAACACAACATGGTGCGATCATCCCCCGTTGCGCGGAGTGAGGGTTCTCCACCCCGCACAACATGATCTACTCGACCACCATTATGGTTACCGCCAAAAAAAAAAACCGGTGGGGGTGGGGGGGGGATTGTTGGTAGGAGGCGAAGTTGGTGACAACTCTTGCCTTTATACGTCAAGCACAGAAACGACCACCACCAGACGATAACAGCCAACGGCGAGAAAATCGGTCCCAAAAGGGCGACGAGATTTCTCAGGAGTTGGCGTCCCTGATTGAGCCCTATCTATGTTGCGGTCGAATCAGCTGGAAACGATAACTCAATAGAAAGGCGCAACCTTGAACTCACTGTTGGAAATGAAATTTCTTGAGCGAGGAAGGACTCGATCTCTTCGGAGTTGGCTCGCCCAGTGAATAGCTTGGTCGCTTCTCCGTGCTCGACGATCTCGGCATAACCCTGACGAGAACAAGAAAAATGACGGCCAACAACAGCTGTTTCAGCGTCGCGTGCACTATTCGAGTCCTTCACGATATGCAGCCGGCTGCAAGTGTTGGGAAGATCGCCTGGTCTGACGACCGACCAATCGTTAAGATTCTTTGCGAAGGCCACCCCCAAAAAAACAATATCGATACGGAAAACGTTGGGAATGCACGAGGGTTATCGGTATCGGTTGTTTTCGGTTAGTAATATTCTTGCTCCCATCTTTGAGACTGCCACCGATCTTCGTTTTCGTCTGATCTTGTCGCCAACGGGCATTCACGGGAATCGCCAAAGTTAGTCTTCCTGCCATTTGTTTTGGCTGTTCTGTTGTCGTTTTCATCACTACCGTTGTTTTTTTGCATTTATTAGCGTTCCATCGACTTCAACAGCGCCCGCCCCTGTCCTCCTGCTAACAAACAGCCCGGGAATAGTGTAGAACAAAAGGCCAACACCCATGGGTTCTTTTCACAACGGGGCGATATTTTCTACGGTTTTTCGCCCTTCTGTCGTGCGAGTTCTGTGTTCGCGAGAACGACTTTGTGCGCTCCTTTGCGTTCTCGAAATATTCTACGGAAAACATCTCCGTTACGTATCCCCGGGTGGTCAGGATAGCCTCGAGAACTATCTAGCGGCGAAGGTGTGAGTTCAAATACCGACGAGGTGTGATTATTTTCGCATTTTCATACCTTCTACTGGAACCACTTCTTCGTAAATGTGCATGAGGGATGGACGGCTGAAGTATCCTCGCGAAAAACGTTCAAGTCACACGCATACATCACGGGATATCTCTAATTGTTCGAAACTGTTCGTTGGCGAGGCAAGGCCATACAGAGGGTACAAACTACGGCAAGAATGTTATATATATTGATGGCCAACTCCCCGACACGCCTTCGCCACAAAATGATTCTTACCACTGGGAGCGAATCTCGTGACCCTCTCTCTGCGGAGTCGCGGATAAAGCTGTCCGAGAGTGCCAGATAGTCGCAAAACTTCTCCTGGGAGGTGTAGGCAGAGGAACGATTGACACATTAGTTCGGCTGGTAACGACTGATTCCCTCGCCATCCATTGCTGTCGCATGACTCACATGCCCCCCCGTCAGAGAAGTCAATGATGTACGATTTTCACCGTTCGGCCAAACGATTCCAACGGCTGGTCTGAAGAAGCAGTGCTCACCACATCTCCCGAGAAGGCGTAGAGGTACCCCAGTATCGTCCACGCCCTTAAAACAAAAAAAACAGGGGCGGGAAAAGATAGCAATGGTGACGTATTGTGAGCGACGTACAGTAGGTGTCTCGATATAGTGCCGGTTGAATAGTGCCAAAGTCCGGTAAATTTTCTTGACACAGACACGGGCCTGAATAGTGCCAAACCGGCACTATTGAGGGCTGTTCGCTATAGTGGCGGTTCAGGCACTATCGAACCCCTCAATAGTGCCGGTTCACACCCCACACACAGCCTTTTTTCGCCTCAAGCCTTCCATGCCAACAGGATTCGGAGACGGTTTCCCTTCGAGCTACAAGTACGCTCGGTTTCTCTCGGTACGCGTTACGTCTTCAAATGTCGCCGTTTACTGATCGACGCAGGTTCCACCAATAGGCTGGGATTTCAGTAGTGAGGCGAGCGAAAAGGAAGATGGTGGTAGTGACAAAGGATATGGAAAGTATAGCGAAGGATAGCAGTGATGATGCAGGAGGAAAATATGGCGTTGAGGGGAACAACAAGAGTTTCGAGCGAGATGATCTTCCTCACAACAAACGCCGCAGGGGCGGAGCATCTAGAGATGAAAGCCCGAAAAATAGTGGAATAATAGTGAAGAGTGTAGTAGTGGTGGTAAATAAAATTCTTCTAAGGAAGGATGAAAACACTCCGAACCGAATGCGTGTTCAAGTAGTAAGCCTTGGCAGTCGCGTAGTTCTCCTCTCTCTGTTGCTACCATTTCTTCTGTCTTTTATCCAGAGAATAGCTCGGCCTCCTCCATGACACCGTCTCACGGCCTTGAGAAACAAATATTTTCTGTTTTTGATCGCACTGAGACTGGCGTCTTTCGGTTGGCCAGTCTTTTTTCTTGCTGCTGAAGGCTTGGTCTTGTCTCCAGCTTTTTATCGAAGGAACAGGGGAGTTCGTTATCTTCTTCGCCCCCTTTTTAGGTTGCATCTGCTTTTGTGTGCTCATGTAAGGAGCACTACATCCATCCATGATTTACCTCCAAATGTACATCGGGTGCGTTCATGAGCGTCTTTCTTTGGCTGTCGAGGGGTGCCTTTGAGGTTGCCTGAATAGTGCTACGGCCTTCTTGCAATACAACACATAATAATTTGATAGCGAGGTAAACTTTTATCGGGCAGCACGGTCTACGGCTAAAAGGCAGCAGCAACGTTTCACCAGCGAGTGCTTGCGCTGAGGTGGGAAGAGAACAACTGCTGTGCAACAAATCGATTTGGTCAATCACGTTAATATTAATGTGACCAATGCCGTGTTTTCGACAGTCCCAGAATCTCACGAAGCTAAATAATGAAGCCCGCCCACGTCGCCCACCTCACGATTGATCCAAATACCGTTCCGTTGGTACTCTGTCATCCCCGCAAAGCGCAAGGGCTGCACTCTGAAGTCGAAAAGTCCTGAATAGTGCCAAGCCGGCACTATAGAGGGATTTTCAGGCCCTGAATAGTGCCGATTGAATAGTGTCAGTGCCCGGTATAGTGCCGGTCAAATCGCCTGGACACATACCGGCATATATCGGGACACCTACTGTAGTCCGTACTCGACCTAACGAGGCTGGCGAGAGGGCAACGCGCTACTTCCTGCAACTTGGTCACAACCCAGGCGCGGACGGTCGTGCACCCTTGGGCCAGTACGAACCTATCCAAATGATGCACCTGCTCGCGGGATATCAGCTCCGGATGCCATTCAACTCACTTTGCAACCTCCATGTTGGTCGGGCCTGTGAAACTTGCTAATGCCGCCTTCGCTCGTCGGAAGTAGTGCGCTACCTGTGTTCATGCGTTGAGGGCAAGCGTTGAGTCGAAAACATCGAAAACATAATATCCGTGCATGACGTGTCCCGGACGTTCATCCGTGGCAAAGATAAGTACCAGGTATAGACAAACCTGCAAGTGTTTACAATTCTATCTGATACTGACAACGTTTTTCAAGACCCCTCCACGGAATTTTCCGGGATTGTGCATGCGCAGGGTAATGCAAGACGAGGAAACACATAGACCTAGCGCGCTGTATGGCACGTAGCTTTGAAACAAACAATAAAAAAGACAACAACCACCAGGGAGAGGGCAGTGTGGGTGCTTGGGGAACGAAATAAACTTTCGATGTGACCCTTACAGTGACATATACCACGAACAAAGCCCGCGTGGATGCATCGTAGGCTGGTGTCCAGCGAAGCACGACAGGGTTATTTTTTCGGGGGAAGGAGCGCGAACTACCATCAGGGCAATTCAGCTTCGCGTGGCCAAAAAAATAACTAGACAGTTGTGCCAAATACTGTTGTCCGCGACGAGCATTTCGTTTCGAGTTTTGTCTCCGCGAACGATTGGTTGTCGGAGTGTTCGAACCCTCGACTCTTCCCTCCTTCGTGGCGAAGTGGGGCCAATTGACGCAGTGTTGGACATGGGCATGGCCGCACTATTGTAGCTGTGGCGAAACCAACACTGTGATGCAGCTGTTCGGATGACCGTTGGGCCTTCAGAATGAGCAAGAAAAAAGGCTTCATTCCCAGTTCTTCTTACACTGCAGAATGCGCTGGAATCCGAACTGCGGGTCGTGCCTACACAATCACCCCCAGCGATTCAGATTCATTTGACATAATTGTCAGCACGCCGTCACTTACCGACTCGATAGGATGGCCCTCCGCGAGTGCCCCGATAGCAACGGCACACCAAAACGTGCAAGTTGAAGGGTCTGCGGGAAGGTCATCTCGTTTCCAGGTATTGCCGACATTGTCTTCCGATACGATCGTGACAAACTTGTTTTCGACGTCGCAGTCTCTCGTGGCGATTGACTGCTGCCGGGTAGGCGACATCATGAGTGTCACCATCACTTCGCGCACATCCCTGCCGTAAAGCACGATGACCGTGTTGCCATGACGGAGGCGACACGAACCGGGGGACGCGGCGAGAAATGAGTGCATGAACCACCGCAGCACATTCACATTCCACCGCAGGGCGGTAGACAGGGGGTTGCACCCCATGTTATCGTACGGGGGAGACATCCTCACCGATACTGAGCCTTGTGCAATCGCTCGGAAATCCCCGACTTTCTGTATGGGGCGGGTCAGTGGCATCGACAACGATGGAGGGCGGTGCCCTCTGGGGCGATTACAAGAGAAGTGATGGGCAAACGGATATCACGTCCTGCGGAACATTGAGCACACCTGTTCTCTTGCTCAACGTTCACTCCTCAGCGCGTGTACTCCGCTACATCCCGCGGCTGGTCCCGAAACAACTGCCCCAGGAGTTTTCTCCATTGGCAGGCCATCCGATCGGTCGTTGTGTCGTTTGTACAATATTCATAGACTACAACCATTGTCCCAGGCGCATAACCGGATCAAACCCTAAATGCCGTTCGCATCCAAACACCACAACTGATTGCATGAAGTTCGGCACACGGCAGAGAAGTGGACGTTCCTCAATATATGGATGAAGGAGCCGGTCGAATACCTTCGGGTTGCGAGCGGAAGAAAACCAACCGAGTCGAAGAAGTTGCTCAGAAACACGTTCTCCTGCATGCCCACCAAGCCGGTCGCCGGAGAAGCGCTGAACCTGTACCTGGTTCCAAGAGACAACGACAGGATGATTCGTTCTCCGTTAGGAGGCTCTCCTTGGGCCGGAGCAGAAGGGCATGGGATGAAGCTTCTCCGTTATGTACGTGGTCAGCACTCTGACTCCCAGCAATGGCAAGAGGCCAACACCCTTGAGAAACTACCAAGAATCTTCGCCCAATCGGCATGGAAAGCTGTCTGCCAACACAGCAGTGGCCTCACCCGGGAGATCAACTAAACACAGGAGCAGAGCAGCATGGGCGTGCGTCGGGAAATATGGTCGGCAGCTCTACGACAGACCGAAAGCACCGTTTCGACTTAACACCCGCCTGCTCCTGGCGGGGAAGATGGAGGCGCTGTTTGCTGTACGGTTGCATGACATGGGCCTCACGTCAAGAACACTACCGGGTGTTGTTGCGGTCGATACACCACCGGTTTTACTGGGAGTTATTGGGTACCAGCGTAAGAAGGGCACCAACCGGCAACTCTCCTACGCCCAGACTCTGAAGAGGGTCGGGTGCCAGAGCGTGGAAGACATAGTTCGACAACCGCGCCTACTGTTTGCGGAAGCATTGGCAAGGCAGCCGGACGGGCGACCTGAACTGGTGGGGGGGGAGAACCCAGGCAAGAGATGCGCGGAGCAGAGCTGGCTGACGTGCCCGAAGGACGATTTCAAGGCGTTCAGGGCTAAACACGGACTCACTGACGAAGAGCCATGTGTGTTAGGAGCCCCAAAATTTGTTTAGACGGAAGCAGCGAATGTGGAGCGGGGTGTACCATGCCATGCGGGGGTACGGCATGGAGCTGAGAGGTTTATGACCGCCTGCCACAAGGATGAAGAGGAGGATGGCCGACGACGAGCGCTGAAACGAGGCAAGGAAACCAGCAACAGCACAGACACGGCAAACACAAGGGAGCGAGAGGGGGCCAGCAGACCGACGAGACGGCGAGGGGACAAAGTGAACGAGAAGAGGCAGGCCGGGCGACTCGATATAGGCCGAACTGAACTCCTTCGCTGATCCCCCCCCCGGTGTTTGCCATCGGGATTGGGTTTTCGTCGCTTGGCAACGACGTTGTAAAACAAGCCAACTCACTTCGTGAACTCGGCAACCAGGTTACCGTTTTTTTTTTTTTACCTCGTTTTTTTTTTTTGGCGGTAACCATAATGGTGGTCGAGTAGATCATGTTGTGCGGGGTCGAGAACCCTCACTCCGCGCAACGGGGGATGATCGCACCACGTTGTGTTAAAATGGTCAAGCTTCCTCGAGGCAGTTACACAGTGCTTTCAACTGTCTCTGGAAGTGAAAGCACCAGAAAATAAATTAAGTCATACGTAGCTGTCATCCGTACGCAAGGAAGTAAGCACAAGATGCCGAACACCCTTAGCAGGATGCAGCTCACCCTTCATGCGACTCGCCAAATACCTCACGGCGCTTCGCGCTTGGTGATGTGAGAGCCTGGTCCGGTGAGAACCCGGCGTGCTCCGTCCCGGCTTTGTAGGGATGCGAGGTCAATGGTCAAACGACTACGGCATGCACGACTATGAGTACACCCCCCCCCCCCCCCTCCCCCGTCATTACACAATTGCATCAACCCCCCACAAGTGATGGCATACCTTCGCTGTTACTGGTGGCCCTTATTGTATTTGTTTGCTTGTGGTTGCGGCGTGTGTCTTGTATTTTCTTGTGTGTCTTTATATGTCATTTCGTTTTTTTCTTGCCGCTTTGTTCTTTTTCTCATTCGTTTTTTTTCTCCTTTGTCCTTCTCAACTTCTTCCCCGAATGGCCTTCTCTCTTTCTCTGTGAAGTTGGTTTGCGGACCCTTCGGGCCCATTTTCTTCAAGTATGCCTATTTTGGGTAAGTTAGCCTGTGACCACGGGAATCGATCGGTCAAGTGTTTGATCAGTACGGACAGATTAAGGTAATGGGTACAATAGAGAGATCGAAACGGTTTTAATACGGAGACAACACACACACATGTACATAGCACAACTGGCAGATCTACGTTCATGACCGCTGAATAAGAGAAGTAACCAAAAATTGTGGAGGACTTTCGCGGACTTCGGCCGCGCCCCCTTGTCTCACCCAAACTTCTTGCGGAAGGCCGCTCTGGGTGTCGTGCCCTATCCTGGAGTGTGGCTGCGGTAGGGGGTCACCTCGTCTTACATTTTCGGGTATGCAGAGATATCTACACGGTTTACCACGTCCTATTTCGCCATGAGATCGCCGACAACGGACTACACATTTTCTCCCATAAGTGCAAGATCTCACCCCAAAAGTGCACCCCTACCGTAGCATCAGTCGCTGGTTGTTTCTCACAAAAGAACATTCTGCTCAAGTGACATATATCCGGTCCGGCCAATCACTTCCGGGGGATGGGTACATGGGCACTAAATTAACCCCGGATAACGGTGATGAGGCGGCTCCGTCGATGTTTTCGTCATTTGGGGCATACGGGCACAGACACGTGCACGCGCTGGTGTTGCTGCTGCCACACCCTAAGTCCATACCCAAAGTCGAGGGTCAAGGGAATCGCGCTCTTCTACTACGGGATGCTGCGACAACGACCACAGCAGGAAAGGTAGCAGAGCGAAAGGGGAGGATTCATGAAACCGTAGGGTCGTTAGCTGTATTCCATTACCTCAGTCACCACTGCAGATTTCATGCCGTACTCCAACCTCTGGCTGACAGAACTCGATGATTGTTCGCCCCAAATCGAAAACGCTCGCGATCAACATGTTGTAATTCAAGGGTGCCTTCAAGTCTTGGTATCAATATGGTATGGTACGTGCACCACAAGAAGATCTGAGAGAAGAGCAAAGTTACAATAATCGCGGTGCCGCTCATTTGTCAAGAACCACATGAAGGGAAAAACGAAAGAACAACATCCTCCTGCCGTTCTTTACCCTTCCTCTTTATCCGGACCAAGTGTACTCATGGACACCTCCGTTGGGCCACAACAGCGAGCGGCCGCCGCCCGTCAGCCGGCGGTCGCCACAAGCGGTTAAGAACCTATGACACACCCTGCTGTATATCTGCAACCGTCTGCAACCGCATGCCCTGTAAGACGTTCGGACGATTTCTCTGTTGTAGTCAACGGCTTTACGTGCTCCAAAATATCTCGCCGGGCTGACCACAAGACTTTCTGGTTCCTGGTCCCAGCCCAGATCCGTAGTCTACAACCCTCACGACGAAATTGCGAGCATTCGGTGGTAACTCGACTGGTTTCTTGACGAAAATCTGTGCTTGCAACCATGCCAGGCGTCGCCCACCACCCACGTGCGGGCTAGCAGGCTTATCGAGAGTATCAACAGCTTCATAGGCCCACATTCTTGAATACGTCGGCCACCTCCGGTGCTTCCATCTTGTTGCAGCATGGCATGGGAGATTTCTTAATGGTTTGGATGATCGCGAAGATTATAGCTCACGGTACCCTCGTGAAGGCAAACAATTGCTCTGATTGTATTGAGCTTCACCTCTTGATAGCCATGTCTTTGGATCCACCATGTCTGATGCCAAGCTTCGTTGCTCCTGCTGCCTCCACAGACGTCCTTGCCTCGATATACGTCCCGCTTTTTTTTCTGTATGGCGTACAGATACGCACTTTTCGCTTTCTGTAGGTGCATCCACCTTCCACGCCCATGTCCACGCAGCGGCTGTAAACGGAGGGCATCGATTTGGGGTGTTAAGAGCAGTTTCGGCGTCTTGTTGAACGAGACAAAAACCTGTCAGTGTTAGCGTGTGTGTCTACATTGCTAGCATATATCGCGCTAAATGGCGGACCAATGAGATACATCAGTGTGGCCAACGGAACACGCGTGCATGTGCGTGGGTGTGTGTTTGCATTGCACTACAAGGGCATCGCAGTTTTGATCCGCTCGTCGTTGAAGAGACATCTCTGTGGCGACGAGAAAAACGTTTTGGCTGCGGGGTCTCCCGACAAATGTCCAAATTGGGTGGCTGGCCTGCTCGCTCGCCAAGGTCGTACAGGAAACGGGTCATCACGTGCCCCCGCAACCTGTCGACAGCGACTAACTCCTGTGAGACGGACTGCCGTTGCTTGTGTCAGGCCCGTACGGCTGGGTTTTGGGCAATGTTGTCGGCCACCGAGGTGAACAGTGGTCACAAACATGTATGTGTGGTCAGAGTCAGGTCTGGCAAGAATTAACTGTTGAGGTTGTTGCCGATCTATGTAGCGCACTCTGCCTCGGTGTCCGTTCGGCGTAAGCATAGTCTGTACGTTTGAAGTCGCTCGCCCGCGTCCCCGCGATGCGGTTGTATGTTTGTGTGTGAAACTCCACCTATGTAAAGGCTTTGCTACCCCTATTGACGCAGGAGTTCGTGTGGTAGCTGTTGTCTGTTGCGAACGGCGGCGGCGGTGGGGTACCGTCATCATCGTTTGCGCTGAAAGAATAAAGGCCAATCAATCCGTTTGACAATTATAGTCACAGCCAGCCAACAATCAATGGATATGCCTCGGGCTTTTCGGCCCTCCCAACTACGGCAGTAATCTCCGGGCCTGGCCCCTCGCCATGCGCTGCTCGAGAAAGAGTGTTGATGAAGCCTAAAAGGTGCCGAAAGTGGGAGGCGAATCAATGACCGATGCAGGCTAGACTGTCCATTGACAAAACAAAGTAGATTTTGCCGAGGCTGGGGTTCCTCTTGTGGGCTACAAACGGCCGCTGCATAGAGGGGTTGTAGGGGTTTGATCGGGTTCAGGAACGGCGCTCAAGTTCTTGTGTTTGATCAACGTTGAGCATCTATCTGTCTCTATAGCCTCTAAACTACAGAAGGATATTACATAGTCTAAATGCGGGCGCTATGGACACAGAACGCATCATGATTCAACATTCAATAACACTACGTACATTAAAGAGATACCCTATTTTTCGTGTCCTCGTCTTTGGAAAATTCGATTGTCTTGTTCGTAATGTGGATATATATATTTTTCTCTAGCATTCGAGTTTTACGAGGAACAGGCTCTCCCTTCCACAAGGGCGAAACCGCTCCCTTCGACGACGAATCATCCAAACCCGGGATAGTCACCACATCAGTCACGGCAGGCCGTAAAGTCGCGCATGTGTGTGTGTGTTTGATAACTCGTTCTGAAAAAAGAAAAAAACGCGATAGCACCAAACATGTTGCACCAGAAAAATGCACACGAGACACACTAGACCGGCCCGAACGCTTCCGGAAAAACAGACATAATCGTTGGTTCTCGAACAGGGCGGCAGGCGGTAAGGTAGAGGCTTCTCAAAATATTCATTGTACAAGTATCATGAGTCTGCCGCCACCCGCCCCCTTTGAAATCAAGATAAAAATCACACGAGTCAACCTTCAAGTTTAGGAGACAGTACCGCCAGAAAAGTACCGCCACATTGAAGTACCGCCCCGCCTGAATCCGCCTAAAAAACTAGTACCGAGGTGTACCCTGTTTTTTACGCCCAGGCAGCCGCGCTCGATTGAGTCTGGTCCAGTCGAGTTCAGTCGGGGGGGTAGAGTCAAGAAAGCCGGTTGCGCAAGATACCAATGCTACCGCCGAACCCAGCCATCGCGTGACCTGACCCCTCCGGTGGATGTCGAAGCCTCTCGACCTGTCGTGATACGCACAACATATGTCATGTACTGTAGCTTCTTGCTTCAGCGCGGGCTCGCATCCACTCTGCTGCTGCTGTGCTGCTGCTGCTGCTCTGTGTCTACATTTTGATTATGATATATATATGTATACACACCTACAAAGAATATGTGAGATGTTACACAGAGTGAGTCCAAATGAGCTATCTGTTCGCCAGTGTCGCTCATCTGTGTCGTGCTTTCGCCTGCCTCTCTCTCGCATCGCATCTGCCTGAGGTCGGTCTCTGCAGCTGCGTGAGTACATACATGCGTACACCACCACCAGGAGCACTTGCTGAAAAGTAGCAAGCTGCGCGCTCGTGTGCACAGACCAAAGGGCTGTTGTATGCAATCTTGTAGACTATAGATTGCCGTGTGCCCACGACTGCTTCCCCAATTGATTTTTTTTACCCCTTGTTTTGCTGAATGAAGTTCTCGTAGTCTATTCGAACAACAACGCCGGCACTGCATACAGGAGTAACAACAGCAACAGATGAGTCGTCATCAAGACAACCTAGCGCGCTTTGCCGGCGACGTGTGGAGCTTCTTGCTCTCCCATTTGTGTATAGCGGCGGGCTGGCACGACTGCAGGTTGTCCGTGCGGCTGAGCAGGAAGCACGGGTGGCAGATCACCTGTTGTCATGTTGTAATCGGTAAAGAATGAATGATGGCACAATTAATTGTGGGTGGTCGAACAACGCGAGGTGATAATGATGTTTGGTCCACCTATTATACCGGAGGAGACGAAGGTTGAATGGTAGTCGGTGCAGAGAATAGGTTGGTAGTACAAGTACACATTTATTGGTAGTATATTATTTGTAGGAGGGCATACTGAGTAGTTTGGAAGAGGAATGAAACATGCGACTTATGACACACCTTTTGGTCTTCAGCCTCGCGGCCGACTGCGTTGACGGTGACACGGTCTACGTCGTCTGCGTTGCACATGCCGCACTTGCGCTTGTCGGCATCGTTTGGGATGCATTCCGTAGCGTTGACGTGGTTATAGCGGCGGTTGCTGCCTTCGTCGTTTCGCGGCCGGCAGGCGGTGTGCGGGGCCATGGGCAGTTGGCATAATTCGCACGTGAGGGGAGCCTTCTCGGGACGTTGCCCTTCCTTGGCCGTTTGAGCTACAAAGAGGTAGCATGGTTTGGGGCACCTGAAGGAGCAGGGACAGGTTATGATGAATGTTAGAGATGGTCGATCCCAACGGGCGCTCTGCTTGTTGCATGTTGATGTATGGATGAAGTCTCCCACCCAAAGGCCGCTTGCCAACGCAGCGTGTGGCATTGTTTTGCGCTTCAAATCTCGAAGGCAACCGTTGCAGATTCGAAGATGGTGAGGGTGCTCGAGTTGAAATCCTTCTCTTGCCAAGACAAGTACATTGAGACAACTTGTCGTGTCCCCGGGGTAGTTCTTGAAGTTGGCCATAATCTCCGGGTGAGCTGAAAGATTTTCTCCCGCGCCCAAAATAGAATGATTAGGAATGCTCTGGGCTGATACCATGGTAATGTCCACACGTCGGCACAGGCAGTCACAAACGGCACACGAAGTGCTGGGAATACAAATGCGGCCGGCATCAAAAATGTTAAGGAAATAATTGTCGAAATGAGGGTATATTGATTTATTTGGGAACGAGTGTCGAATGAAATGGTCTGCTGGTGGGGGTAACAGAGGACAATCGGGGACTAAATAATACGAAATCCAAGTAAACACTTTTCACCTGTGTGGTATGTTGTCGGCCATATGCTTATGGAAGTCAGCAATAGACTTGAACAGCATCGAAGTGCCGAGAACGTTTTCCGTCAACGGGGGGTGATCTTGCCCGTCCAAGATTCCTGCAGGGTGGTCGAAAGCTATTACAGGTGGGTTGGTGACCGTGGGCGCGTACGAGTGCCTGGGACGAAGGGAGCATGCAGACATTGATGCGTCAAGTAGAAGTACTACATACAGATCATCGATGCTAAACGCATTGCATGAACGTTCCAGCTGCTCCGGAGTACTTGATAGACTCACGTGTTGAAAATGGGCTGTTCCTGCCTGGCTTTCTCCCTGGATCGAGCCCTAGCCGCTGCCGACGTCGCTTTTGCTTCCGCGGCTTGTTGATTCTGCTGATAGTTGTGTTGCGAACGAGCTGTAGTAGCCGCTGATTTTTCTCTTGCTTGTCTGATATCCTGCTGGGCTTTTGTGGAACGAGCAGAGGCAGCTGCCGACGTCGCTTTTGCCTCCGCGTCTTTCGCCCTTGCTTGTCTAATCTCTTGCTGGGCCTTTTTGGAACGACCGGAGGCCGCTGCCGACTTTGCTTTTGCCTCCGCGGCACTCGCCCTTGCTTGTCTAGTTTCCTGCTGGGCTTTTGTGGAACGAGCAGAGGCCGCTGCCGGCGTCGCTTTTGCCTCCGCGACTTGTCGGTTCTGCTTCTTGATGTGTCTCGAACGAGCTGTTGCCGCCGCTGATGTCGCTTTCGCTCGTCTATTCTCCTGTTCGGCTCTCTCTTTTGCTTTCGCCGCTTCTCGCGATTGAGCTGCAGGTTCTGTCTCCAACGAGCTGTAGCCACTGCTGATTGCGCTTTTTGCCTCGGCGGCTTGTCGATTCTGCTGTTGGTTTCGTCTTGAACGAGCTTTTCTAGCCGCTGATCATGCTGCTGCTGCTGCTGCTGCTGCCGTCGTCGATGTTGTCTTCGTTGTTTTGGTTTTTTCCCGTAATGCTGCGCTTTTGCTTCCGCCCTTGCGTATTCCGCTGCACCAGTCGCCGCTCTGTGGGCGGCCTTTTGAGCCGTCGCGGAAGGGAAAGTGTTTTTCGTGCTGCGGCTGCGGGCTCGCCGCTGGCATCGTGTGCTGCGCGAGCTTCCGCCGCAATCTCCCCCGTGATTTCTCGATCGGCTTGTTGTTTCCATGTCCATGCTTCTTCCGTGACCTCTTGTGTCTCTAGCGATGCTGCTGCTTTTGAAGCCTTCGCTTTAGCCCTCGCTCTTTCTCGTAGAGCACGGTCATCCGCCCTCTTCCTACCGCGCTTGGCCTTGAAGGCTTGTCGTCTTTGAAATTTAATGTCCCGGACAACTTTAGCATGGTGAGTAGTGTGGAATGTTGTGTCTGGGGCCGGTGCTGCTGTTGTCTTGTCCGAAAAGAGGAAAAACGGGCAGAGCACCCATACATACATACAAGTAGGGCAATTTTTTTGTAAGACACGGAAGAACTTCCAACAATTGTCTATGTTTTAGAGGGGTAGAGCCGGGTAGATGCCTGACTCCCACCAATCACCCGTCGAGTTTGTAAGACATTTTGTAAGGCAGAGACAGATGATTGGGCGATGGGCACGACGCTCTCGGCAGAATCACTGAAATCCTCTCGCACAGCAGCACCATACACATCACGTACATCACGTAGACAACATGCGATACAACCAGCACAGCAGTATATGGACTGCTGTAGGCCAAGGGCAGCCAAAGGCATACATCATGGGAGGCGTTGGGTTGGACTCTTGCGGCCCGTTGCCTGCTGTCGGCAGCACAAGCGAGTGACGACGCAAGTCAACCCGCCGTCCGTCTGCATCACACCCTCAACCACCTACCGATCTTTGGAGCTTCCCGCACAGACGTATCCCCACAACAGAGAAACCGAGGCCTACACACTGCTGTAGACCAAGGCCGGCCAAAGGCACACATCATGGCTGGCGTCGGAAGCTATTTTTAGACCCCGAGGCTTACTGCTGCTATAGCAGCGTAAGCGAGGGAACATGCGAGTGCACACAAGTGAGGTCTTTCTTTGTCTGCTGTCTCTTCGTCTGCCGGCCGATCTTTGCTTCCACAACAGATGCACCCCAGAAACAGAGACAAGTGAGACGTACACAGCGCTGTAAGCCATGGGCGGCCAAATACGCACGTCGTGGGAGGGGTCGGGCCCAATTTTTCGAGCCTGTTGCCCTCTGCTAGTAGCGAAAGCGAAGAAAGCAAGTGCGCACCCGTGCACAGCAGCAGCAAGCAGCAGCGCCGGCAGCAACAACAGCACAAGCAGCAGCAGCAGCAGCAGCAGCTGCTGCACTGCTGTCGCTGAGCTGATGATGATGAGAGCTAAACATCTCTCCCATTCATCCCCTGACTGACTGGTGGTATCTGGTGAGGTGTGAGCGTGCGCACTGGTGACCTACGTGGTGGCGTAGGCTCCATCCATATCTATCTACGCTTGCTTTGATGTCTCTCTCCGACCCTTCTTTTCGCGCTTCGCGCGAAATTATTTAATTTTTTTTGTTGGGCCCCTATCTATCTATGTATGGGAGGTGAGCCGGAAAACGCGAGAAATGACGCTTTTTTTTGTGCATGTTGGCGCAGACAAAAAAAACAAACGGTGAGTTTAGAACGCGTGACACATGAAGGCCGTTGTTGGTGTTGTTTTGCTCCTTGCTGACACCAGCGTGTCGACACCCCAGTGTGTGGCAGCACACAGCAGTCAGTGTGTGAGCACACAGCAGTGTGGGAGCACACAGCACACACAGCTAGCTGTACATTAGTGTGCAATGTTGTTTGTTGTCTGGTGGCAGGCACTGGGGTCGCTGCCATCATCGCGACAAGCTTTCATCCAGACCCACGCCTGCATGTACAGCAGTACTACTGCTGCTGTGTTGCAGCGAGATTGCACGCTACATGGTGGGAGACAGCAGTCAGTGTAGGACGCACGACATCTTGTCGGAGCACATAACAGTGGACACAGTGGACACACGCAGCAGTAGTGGTGAATGTTGTGCCTGGGGCCGGTGCTGCTGTATGTAGTTTTGTCCGAAAAGATTGTGCATGATGTTGGCGCAGACCAAAACGGTGAGTTTAGAACGCGTGACACAGTCGACACCCCAGTGTGTGGCAGCACACAGCAGTCAGTGTGTGAGCACACAGCAGTGTGGGAGCACACAGCACACACAGCTATACATTAGTGTGCAATGTTGTTTGTTCTGGTGGCGGAGGCGCTGGGGTCGCTGCCATCATCGCGACAAGCTTTCATCCAGACCCACGCCTGCATACAGCAGTACTGCTGCTGCTGCTGTGTTGCAGCGAGATTGCACGCTACATGGTGGGAGACAGCAGTCAGTGTAGGACGCACAACATCTTGTGGGAGCACATAACAGCAGTGGACACGCACAGCAGCAGCAGTGGTGAATGTTGTGTCCCAGATGGGCGGCTTGTGTAGTTAGTTCTATCTGAAAAGAGGAAAACGCGAGGAATGACGCTTTTGTGCAAGTTGGCGCAGACCAAAACAGTGAGTTTAGAACGCTTGACATATACATATATAAACGATTCCAATTCCGTGACCCTCAAGCAAGAAATGTAACATATTTAATTCGAATACAGTATCGACATTTCGGACAGGATTTCTGTATTGCTTTTCTCGTTTTTTTTTGTTTTTGTGCCGTTTGCTCCAGCCGGTGGTCACGCAGCAGGGCCCCTCTCTGTCCTCCCCTCCTGCGGTACTTTGCCTTCGATTTTTGATGCGAGAAGAGTGCAGCACTCTCTTCCCTCTGTGTACACACGAACTAGCGCTATCCACTGGGCCAGGAGAGCGGAAGCGAGAGAAAAACTCACTTTGCAAGAAAAGCTCGCTTACGCCGGGATTCGAACCCCTGACCTGACCTCTTCTAGAAGGTTTTGAGGATACCAACTAGACCACCGGGGCGACCGGCTTGGGATTGCGCTGGCTGAAAACCCAATTATACCCAAGGGGTACGCCAACATACATGTACTGCTGTAGTAGTACTGTCTTTTGCGGTCCCAACCTTCATGTAGGTGGGCTGGAACGCTGAAATCCACATACATCCGGTAGCGGGGGCTTGGATGGACTGTAAGCACAACATGTGTTTACCATCAGTGATCTCACATACACCAGGAAGATCCTAAACTATACTTCGAGGTACGAAGTACTTCTTTTTTTTCTCTGCGGCTGATCCACCAACTGAACCAACCACAGGCACATGATAAGTGCCGACATACCTGCACGGAGTTGCACCATCGCACTTCTTCCTGTGTAAGCTGCACCTGTCGCAGCTCTTTCGTAGATCATACATGGTGGGAAGAAGAGTAATTCTACCTTTGCAGAGCGAGAGAGGCGCGCCCCGCGCGGGCCGCGGATTCCATCGGGGTTGTTCCGACTTCCTGGTCGTTTCGGAGAAACATGTATGGAGGCGTTTTCGAACTCCTGGGTGCTTGTCCTGCATGCGCCACTGTGGGAATACTGGATGCGTGGGTAAGCTTGGGACGCGTGGGAGCACCTGAGTGCCCTGGCGTGCCTTGCAGCGACCGGTCACATGCCTCGCTCAAACGAAGGGACACCGAAATTCAGATTAAACCCTGAGGCAAGTCGTCTCCTGAAGAGGTGCTCAGGAGATGAGATGACTGCATAATAATATATCTCCGTGGTACATACCCCCTCTTTTTTTTTTCACGAACAATGTATTGGTCGTTAGGGCGTGTATTAACGAAGTGCCGAAAATCAAAATCCAAATGGGCGCAAAATCAAAATCAAAATGCGTTATCGTGGAAAACTGAAAAAAGAGGGTCGTGTAGGTTAACGAGGATAGGAGACAGATGAGGCAAAAAATCAAAAAGACCTGGCACCAGGGGAAGAGCCAGCAACGCAGCGGTGATTTTTCTAGGGTGCGTTTTACGCTGTTCTGTTCACGTGTTAGCCGATATCTCGCCAAATACTTAACAAGTTGCCTCAAGAAAGGTATCCGGAAAGAGCTGGAAACATGGGCTGTTGGGCAATGCCAAGGTTTGGGGCCGTGAGGTGCCGAATGCGCCG